TTTCAAAGAACTGGGAGCTGGGGCAGGTGAGGCAGTCATGGGGTGGGGCTGGGAGAGCGGGCAAGAGATGGGGACTCATGGCAGAGCCCCACACACAGCATGGACCAGTGAGAGACAGTGGGGATCACTCCCCTGCCTGGCAGCAGCCGGTGAGTGGGGCTTTTTTTTGTTTTTTAAAGAGCTGGGGCTGGCCGAGGCAGCCATGGGGGTTGGGGGGACTGGGAGAATGGGCGGGGGTTGGGGACACTCGGTCAGTGTTTTCACCTTTTCCCAAATCAGACTTCCTTGGTGTTACATATAGAAATTAGATAACTTAAATAAAACACACACCCACTTCAGATTTGCAACAAATTTCTTTTATGTTTGTTCAGATGTAATTGGATTCTGGCTTTCTTTCATTTTTAAAGATGCAGAACTATTAGGCTTCCTTTGTTTTTCCAGAACCTTTCCTTGCCTGATTTCACCTTTTCCCAAATCAGACTTCCTTGGTGTTACATATAGAAATTAGATAACTTAAATAAAACACACACCCACTTCAGATTTGCAACAAATTTCTTTTATGTTTGTTCAGATGTAATTGGATTCTGGCTTTCTTTCATTTTTAAAGATGCAGAACTATTAGGCTTCCTTTGTTTTTCCAGAACCTTTCCTTGCCTGATTGGAGACCTCATGTATAAAAACGCAACCTAAGTAAATCTTGTTCATTTCTAAATGGACTATTATTTCTGATATAATATTCTTGTTGCAAATCAAATTAATAGTTCCACTTCTCATTTTAATCAGAGAAGTTATGCATGGAGATATATAGGACTTTTGTTTCCAGGGCTATATGGATAAAAGTATTTTTAGGGTGCCTGTATATGTCACAGGGTTTAATCCTCATTAAATTAAATAGGTTTATAAAATTTAAACTTGCTTATTTTGAAGTGTCGCATGAGTGTTTGCACGTACTAGGTTTTTGAATAAATTAAGCCCAGTCCCCAGCTGGCACTGCATGAAAGTGGGACGGTCCCACATTGCCCCCCCATCTTAGGGCTCCCCACTCTGTGCTCTGCCATGTGGCTGTGGGAGCAGGGAGCTGGCAAACAGCACAAGAAAAAAAAGGTTGCTGCAATTCGAAAGTGGAAGCAATTTGAAACAGTGAATTACAAAAAGTTGCAGTGCCATCTGGTGGATAAAGCGGCTCATTACACAAATTTGAGTGCCTTTGTGTTTGCAGGTAATGAATCCATGGAAGCGGTGCTTTACTTTGCAGCGAGCCAAACTAAACTATGGCCGAGGAGTTTTAGTTTAATTCACCAGAAAGGCTTTTAAAGTGTCCGGAAAACCAGCTCGTGCAAACAGTCACATCACTGCAGTTCAAGAAACAGCAAAAAATGTGTACAAATGCCTTTAGGTATGAAAAGTAGGTATCTGACTATGATATTATGGAGAAGCAGGGATGGAGGGACCTCAGGAGGTCTTCCTAGCTAAATTGTAAGTTTAAAGTACTATAATTACTTGTATAACCTATTCTGAAACCTGAAGAACCAGTCTTCTTGCACCACTACTGAGCACAATGCCACAAAACAGAACCATTTCTACATTTCAATTTGAGAAGACACATATTCAAGTGGATCTCTAGTTATGTATTCACTTTCAGTAAAATGTATCTATTCCTTTCAGGCAGAACCAGCAATTGCATATGTACCCAAGATGTGTGCTACAAATATATTGCAAGTGAATGTTTACCAAATTAATATTTAAATGAGTGCATATGGAGAATAAATTTCACTCCAAAATGTTTTGGGGCCTGCTTACTCTTGTAAATGAATATTTAGTTCTTACCTCAAAATCCCAAAGGACAGAAAAATCCATGGCTGTTGCTTGTTCAGCTCTGGGTACAGTTTTTCTCGGCATACTTCCATAAGGCATTCCCATCAAGACCTGATTTAAGTTAATGGAGACATATTTATAGTCTACAATACTGTACATCTCCCTTCATTTTCCCTTAATTATGTTTTCCTTGTTGGAACAGGTCAAAAGAAAGAGATGATGAATTCTGTTTATAATGTGAAACAAATTCACAAATAGGGCCTTAAAATTGTATGGAGAACTCTACTTGTAAGTACTTAATTCAATCTCAATGAGCTCAGTTAGTTTATGATCATCATAAATTTCCAGTGCTGCTCCAGACAGCTGAAAGTGCAGTACTTCCCAACATTTTCCTATAGCACTGGACCATTGGCCTTGTAGCCCCAATTCAGTAAATTGCTTACCAAAGTTAATGATGTGTGTATGCGAGACGACTTTTAAAGTCAAGAGTTGCCTGTGTGATTTGAGAAAATGAGGCCTGATTTAGAGAGACCGTTTGATTTTTGATTTTTTCCTGATGCATTGTCACAGTGACTAGCAAAGAGTTGTACTGAAACCATGGAAGCTTTTAGAATAACCACCACTATATTTTTTAAAACGTATTAAAACCAACGGGATGCTCTCTTTGTAATGGAATGAAATTTTCCCAGTGCTTATATTGGTAAGTCTTGTGACAATCTGGAATCAACTGTGAATAACACAGGTGAAAAAAATGTGTTAAGTTAATGTGAAACACTCACAGACATAACCCCACTGCTGTCTATTTAGGTTTTTGCTCCTAACTTCCTTGCCAGTTAACTGCAGCTTTTCTCCCAAAGCCTCACTTTTATCCCTATCCTTATCCCTTATATTCAGTTGAACTATAACAAAACAAAACTGGTGAGAGACATAACTCATACCATTTATAAATGGCCACTACCCCTTTCATTTTGTTCATGTATTCCATATCTTTTGAAGCCCATACAACAGCAATTCTCAAACACGGTGCTGCAGTACCCTGGACTGTCTTGAGATTCTTTCAAGGGTGCCTTACAGTGTTAGCACTGTTATGCAGGCAAACACCTACATGATTCACAAGTTAAATCCAGATATTTCAAACAGGAATTCATAATGTCAAAAATGTTTTGACCTGTTGTAATCTTTTTTAGTTCTCTGCAACAGAAGAATTTCTGTATTACTTTTCTGTAGTCAAAAAATGAATGAAAAATAAGAGCTGGCATTTCCTGAGTGGTGCTTTAAGCCTAATGTGAAGTGTCTTGAGCCTAAAAAGGTTAAGAACTATTGCCATGAAATGTGATGGGGGATAGGGGTGTGTGAAATGGGCCCTATTCAATTCAGATTTGGCCCGAATCAGGGACAGTGATTTGATTAGTTGATTCGGATCACTGTTCCCGGTTTTGATTCAGCTGAATCTGAATCTTCAATGCTGATTTGGACATACACACAGCTCTAAATGGTTTTTCTACATACCTCAAGGTACCAGGTGTGGCTCGTGAATGCTGCGATGGTGGGGTGGATGGAGCGTCCCACAGGAGCGTGGGGAGAGGGGGCCCACATGCTCGGCGGTGAATCCAGAAGTGGACCAGAAGTATTTCCGGTCCACTTCTGAGTCCACCGGGGAGTGCACAGGGGGCGCATCCTCCTAGCTCAGAAATCGGCCAAGGGAGGACCCTGGGTACCCCCCCCCCCGAGACCCAGGAGGAGTTGATAACGCAGGGGGGTGCAGGGGGCGGTCCCCGGAGGACCCAGAAGTGGACCAGAAGTGCTTCTAGTTCACTTCCAGGTCTGCTGCTAAGTACACTGGGGACCCTCCTGTGCTCCTGTGGGATGCTCCATCTGGCCCATCATCACAGCATTCACAAGCTGCCTGGTACCTTGAGGTATGTAGAAAAAACATTTAAAGCTGTGTCTATGTCCAAATACTTGAATCTTTTCGAATCTCTCCAAATCGATTTGGAGGGTTCTGATTCGATTCAGAGAGATTAAAGGTCTCCTGAGTCAATTCAGATTTGGAGATTCAGCCACTGAATCGGGTCAAATCTCTGCCGAATTGAATCAGCAACCAAAGCTTTGCACAGACTTAATGGGGGATGTGATGGCAACAATGAAACTAAATAAAAGGTCAAAGTTTGGAAGAAGCCTAAGAGATGGGTTTCTGGATTTGGGCAAGTGAGTTTGATTTTCCAGGAAGAAACCCAGGAAGGAGTTCACTAGGAGCAATGGCAATGTTTATCTTTTGGGCATCCTGAACCACAGGTTCAGCTTTGGTCCCCTGTTCTCTGTATACCCAAATTAATTGCAATGTAATGAAGGCCCTGATTAGCTCAGACTCTCATAGCATTTCTGCTGCCCTGGTTAGGATAAAATTTAATAGGGAAGTGATTCATGGTTTCTCTGGGACAAGTCCTGCCCTGGATACACTGGTATAAACTCAAAGTAACTTCAGTCACCTTAATGGAGTGGGTTTAGAACTTGACCATCTTATTGTCTTTCCCCCTCCTTCTCTTAGTAATACAGTGATCACTGTATTACTGTGAAATTCTTCCTATGTAACCTCAAGTAAATTAATTCAGTAGGAGCCATTGCTTGCCAGGCTGATGTTTCTTGAATAGTTGAATTGTAGACTGGTTGTGCCTATCAAAATCTGATCTGGGTACCTGCAAGGTTGTTTTTCACTGTGCTTTTCTTCAGCCTTCTAAATATAGGAAACTGCTAGATTTAGGTCAATGGTGCCTCAGAAGTGTGTTTTCCAGGGCATGGTGGTGAACTTACACACAAGCAGTAGTTGGGAGATGGTAGAAATTTTTACATTTAAGATAGGCTTTTGATCTTGATGCTCCATTGAAATTCTTTGTTTAGCATCAGGCCTCATCTAGGCGAAAATGGTTCTGTGGAAGCCATAGTGAAATAGCATACAAATGAATTGTAAGTGGGGGAGGAAGCTGGGTATCTCAAGGGCTTGGGATTGAAAAGGATATCAGTAGTCAATAGAGTGAAATGTCCAAAGAGTTGCCAAAAGCATTAATAGAAGCAGAGTTAAATCAATTGCTGAGCACTGCAAAAATATCCCATTGATGTGTATGCTGATCCTCTTTGAATATTTTTTCCTTTGTATGTCAGAGAGCTACCTGAAAATATTCAGGAAGAATTTTCCCCTGAATAATTGAAATCGGTTCCCTGGCTAACCACTTACTGTGAAATGGAGGCTGTTAGAGAAAGGAGGACGTCTGTATAGTGACAACTTAAATTTAAACTTCCCTTGTTTGGAAAGGAGGGTGCTTCACCTTGAACTTTCTGTTTTTCCCTCTGTAATGCCATAAAGGGATTAGTTTTATCTGCTTTTGCAGTGCTGTTCCCTTAAGAGAAGCCAAGAGCAATTGAGGGCATTTGTGCATACTTGTCAATAGGTTTTATATTATACAGTTCTGGAGTAATGAAGTCAATCATATTTGGAAAAACAATCATTAAATGGCAAAATGGGACAAAGGGAGAACAGTGAAAGGTGGCATCAGCAAGGTGATGTGAAGAACAATATTTTCATAATGCAGTTGTATCCCACAGTAACATAGGGCAGGACTAGCTTCAGAGCAAGACCACTATATGACATAAATGGTTGCCTGGGAGTGAGTCATAAAGACTTAATAGCACATTTATAGATAAGTTGTGGATAATGTGTAGCAATGTCTAAACACCTCACAGTTATAAATAAATAATGTGTGTATTTTAAGGGCTGCATTTAAATTTAAATTATTTTTAATTAAATCCTTATTGACAAGCTCCATTTACATATTTTAAGAGATTAGCATGCAAAGGGAAATTGTTATGCATACAGAAGAACATCCTTTCCTCCATGATAGGCAACCATGCAATACTACAATGTAGTATTTTTCCTTTGGTTTTTCCCAAGAATTTGAGATGTTAAAATATCTATAAGCAATATCATTTGGACAATATTTGTATATTGCGACCAAGCATGTTGATTTCTTCTGGACCATATGGATATTCCAAGCTTATAAGATTTGAGGGTTCTACTTTTCATTCTGGCCAAAACTTTAAAAATTCCAGCCTGAAGTTATGCTCTAAATCTGCATTTAATTGCCTCCTCATAGCATTTTCAAAAGCAATTTGAGTAAGTTAGGTGCACTGACATCAGTGCAGCAAGACTTTTAAGTCACTTAGGTCTTGTTTATACTGCTTCCCTGCCAAGACCGGGACCACTGCTGCCTATTTGTTCCACTTGCTGCACACACATGACAGCAATAGGACAGAGCAAAAAGCTTTGAAGGTTCCTACTAGTTTATTTCTCCCTTCCAGCAATAGAGTAGAACAAACCAAGAATGATTAAGCCATTAAGTAGTAACAATACCCACCAAATATATCAGTAAAACAGTCTAGTGTCATGTGCCTGCATAACTGGATTTTGCTCATTGTAAATGTCAAAATGAGAAATAAAAATTGACTGATATTCAGATGATGGCATCACTGGAGATAATGACACCCTAAATCAGGGGGGCACTTTCATTTGCCCTGTGATGCCCACCAATGAATTGTGCCTGCCCAACCCTACCACCCAACAAAGGTGGGAGTGAGGCACCTACACCTGCCCCCAACATACCCTACTATGCCTTGCTCCCACCCTCATGGGTGGAAGGACCTGGTCCCGGTAGCACTGGGAAGGGCTGCTGCTGCAGGTTTCTTGGGCATCCCTCCAGGCAGCAGGTAGGGCAGCAGGGATGGGGGCAGGGCTACAGCTGGATGGGAGCACAGAGTTTGGGGCTAGGGCTGGCTGCAGTGTGGAGCCCATGCCCAGGGGGGCAGTGGCAGTGCGGAGCTCAGCTGGGCAGCATGTGGGTTTGAGGAAGGGTGGAGGGCATAGCTTTGTAACACACTGGTCTCTCCTGCAGTCAACACAGGCAACACTGTGGGGGGGCAGGGTTGAGGGGAGTGTGTGGGGGTGGCATTTGTGGGGTGTGAGGGAGGGTGGGTACTCCCCCACACACTTTCCCCAGGGTGCAGCAGCAGGCAGAGGCACTTGTTGCCTGGCTCTGGCCAGTGCACTGCACATCTCATTGAAGAGTGCAGTCCCCGCTGGGAAGTCTCTATCGCTGGTGCTTCCCAGCACTCACGGGGTGGAGGGGGCCAGGGGGGCATCATGCACTGGTGCCTGGCTCCAACCAGTACTGCACACTGTGGTGAGAAGCGCAGCCCCTGCCAGAAAGTTTGTAGAGCCAGCGCTCCCCACTCTGGCGCGGCACAGGAGGGAAGCCCCAGGCATGGGAGCTGGCTGTGGTGGGGAAGGCAGCCAGGTCCAGTGCCTGGGGCTTCCCTCCCTAGCCGCCTGAGTGCTGGGGAGCACCAATGATAGAAACTGCCCAGCAGGGACTGCGATCCTCAATAAGATGTGCAGTGCTGGCCAGAGCCAGGTGCCAGTGCCCCGGCCTGCTGCTGCACCATGGGGAGAGTGTGGGGGGTCCCCACAGCCCTCCCACTCTCCCTCAGACCCCACAAACACCACACACCCTGCAGTGTTGCCTGTGTTGACTGCCCAGAGACCAGTGCATTCCAAAGCCAAGCACCCACACCCCACAAATGCCACACAACCCCCAACATACCTTATGCTCCCACACATAGCCATACCCCCTCACAAACTCCCCCCATGCCCCCTCACACACACACAACCCCCCCACCATACACCCCCCACCATACACACACCCCCGCCATACACACTATAAGAGACTAAGAATTTATTTTGAGTTATTATGCAATCACCTCTATCTACAGTACATAAACACAAATCATGACAAAAATATTTTTTGTAATAAAATTAAAATATTTTATAATAGGTGTTTGACTTTTAGTGTATGATTTGTTTTTTTCTGGCTCTAAGATGGCAACCCTTCCCCACAAAGGAGTATATCTGGGGGGCAATGGGAGGGACTTTCAGTGGCGAAGGGCAGGGGTTAGGGATGGGACTCCTGGTCCCAAGATGATGAACAGGGGAAAGGGCAACTGTCAAGGGGCAGGGCTACCTATGCGGACCTTAACAGCTCACCAAATCTTGTAAAGCAGCCCTCCACCCAAAATAATTGCCCACCCCTGCCCTAAATAAGGTCCCTGGAAATGAGAACATGTTAGATCAGATGGTATTCTATACGCAATGTTATAAGTCAAACCTTTTCCATTTTGGGGCATGGCCCAAGGCTTTATTTTTTTATTTATACATTGTAATTAAATCCACGTTTAATGATTTTTATAAAATATACTCAATAATGTAAAACACCAATGTGTGCTGTCAATCTCATTTTGACATTAACTATGCCCTAAATACTATGACCTGAGTACAGAAATTGGGTGTGAATTCTTACCTACTTTTTTCCTCTAGACCAATACGGCTACAACCTGGATACCTGACACATGGAAGATATTGAATTTTAGCCGATTTTTTTAATGAAATCTTCATAATTTCACAAGGAAGAAGCATCTTTGACCACTTGAAACCTGAGATACTGCTTCTGCCTTTGTTCAAGGTAATTTGAATCACCACAGAGCCTCACAACAGAGCTCAGAGACACCTTACCAGGGAAGAAATGCCTGCCTAGAGAAGTATTCCATCTATTGACTCCTCTGTGAAATCCTATAATATATGAACTTTCATTTCTACCCAAGAGAACTTTTACAATCTTTTCTCCAATGCCTGATGAAGGGTGTTTGTGCCCAAAATCTTGCAATTATTATTATTATTTATTTATTTATTTTGCAAAAATCTGTTCATCTAATAAAAGACATCATCTCTACTATGAGTCCTGAATTCTTACCTCTGGAATTATAACTAGTCCAAATATTAAACCAAAAAGGACCAGATTTACCCCATACATCCATCGCAGAAATATAAAGTAAGATGCTACTGAAGAGCCAAAGTGACCTTAAACAAGAAGAAAGGTAATGATTAGAACTGTGGTGATGTAACGTTCTCATTTACAAGAAGTTACTTAAATAAATACAGAACAGAGCAACAAAATGTTTTTTATAATGCCTCACAGCTTAAGAGCAAATTTCACTTACTTTCCACCTCTTTTATCTTCATTTCCCAGGGTATACACTGAGTTTTAAAATTGTCAAAATCTCTTTTAAATTTCACCCATTTCTGAAACCAAAAACAGCATTGCAAATTAGAGACCAGCTAAGATGCTCTTGAAGATGACTGTGGGGCTTGTTTGTCTAGGGAGTTCTTTAAATTTAGTTCTTGGTGAAGTTACAAAGAATCAGCAATGCAGAAATGGGGCTGGATTCCCAGGGCAAATCAGAAATAGCAAGCATGGAATTGCCAGACATAGCTACTTTTGGGGAGGTGAGGGGGTGGTAATAAGGGGGTGAACCATAGTCTTTAATGGGTTCACTGGGTGCAGAAGCACTGTCTTAACTTCTTTAATTGTCTCTTTTACCAAATACTTGTTAACTGCTTAGAAGGGGTGTGAGAAGCTTCCATCACTGATTCAATGTGGAGAAGATTTGGCCTGATTCAGAAGCCAAATCACTGAATATGAATTGAATCAGGAGACAAAACCCCCTCCAAATCAATTTGGAAAAAGATTCAGAGATTCTGAGATTCGGAAGGCAGTCTTTCAGGGGAACAGAAACTGAGAAGAGGGAGAGGGAGCGAGGGGATCTGTAGCTGGCCAGTGACTGTGATCTTTCCCTGAGTCCCCTTCCAATCACAGTGCTCTGGGGAGGGACATAGAAACAGCATATAAGCCTCTGTCTGCAGCCTTTCTGTTTCTTTTGTGAACTGTTTCTGCCTGAGGCACAGTGTCTGAAAGGTACTACTGGACTGTCTGGGCTTCCTAGTCAGTCTACTGCTAGTCTGTCTTCTTGGACTGGGTACAGCTTACGAGTTACCCTTGCCTAGAATCCTTCTACTTATCTCTATCCAATCCATTTCTTTCAACTTATTCTTCCTCCCAAAACCTCTTATTTGATCTTATTTTCCCCCCCCACACTTTAAAAGAAAGCTGTGTTTTCCCTGGCAGTGTGATCCATCAGTGTGCAGGAAAGCACAAACATTACACACACACACACACACACACACACACACACACACACACAGAAGAAGAAGAGATATTAATATTATTAATTACACACACATACAGTAAACAGAGAAGAAGAAGAGATATTGGACACATACAGTAATCTGAGAAGAAGAGAGATTGTTAGTTAGTTACACACATAGAGATAAGAAGAGATATTACAGCTGCGCGCGCACACACACACACACACACACACACACACACATTCTCCAGCACAGGAAAGATTAATATGAAGCATGCTGCAAAGGCAGGTGCCAGGTCTTCTGGCAGGGGAGGGAGAGGGGCTAGAGGGAGTAGGGGGAGAGCTACAGCTTCAAGTTCCCCCTGCCCCAAATAGATACATCCTCTTTCCTAGCAGTCATGAGTCTTCTGCTGCCAGTGGGAGCAATGAGGTGGGAGCAGTACCTGTCCCTGCACCCGCACCACCTCCCCTAGCATCAGAAATAGCCACCAGCACCAGCATGACAATCTCCTCCACCCCAATTTCATCTCCCAGTGTGAGCCTCCCAGTGCCAGAGGAGAAGCTGGATCTGGAAGCAGGGGACCTGAGCACCCTAGCTAAAGAAATTCTGGGGAATGAGGCAGAATCTGATTGTGTGCTCCACAGCCCTCAAAGTTCCACTAAAGCCAGGTCTCCATCTCCGGAAAGCACCTCAGAGGAGGTTGAGGTTGAGGTTGAGATTGAGGTAGAGGTTGTGGAGACAAGTGGTTCAGCTGAGTCAGCTCCTCCTGTTGTTGTGCCGTAGCCTGCTGAGCAAGGGATAAGGCAAGATCCCCACACTCAATCCAGAAGCCGGGAGGTAGTGTAGTGTGGGATCATTTTGAGGTGGCAGATGTTCCCAAGTATGCTATCTGCCAGCACTGCCAAAGCCCGGGTAAGGAAATGAAACACTTGACCATCACAGAGATGCTGCTGTATCTCAGGAGGCAGCATCCCATTGCCCTTGTTCCTCCTCAGCCTGGCACCAGTGGGAGCATGCTCAAAGGGAAGTCCCCCTCTCACTCCAAAGCCTCCGTCCCTATGAAGCAGAGACAGGCCACCCTGGAGCAGTGGGGGAAAGCTGCAGACAAAGGGGGGCACGTTGCAAGGGTGAGCAAGGTCACCCAGAGCATTGGGGAGATGCTTGCTCTGGCAGTGTGGCAGCCCCAGGAAATGCCAGGACTTAGGATCTCCCTGGTGAAAGGTGGGTAGGTGCCTTATACCTTCCAGCCACCACACATATGCACAGTCCTGGCTGGAGAAAGCCCAGACCCCTAAGAACTTTGAGAGGCCTGAGGATTGCTGGTTGCAGTGGAGTTGCAAGACAACTGGACTGTTGGAGCTGCGATGCCCTTAAAGTTTCAGGTACACTGTCTGGCTTGTAAAGACATGGGCTTTCAGGTTTAAAACTCTTCATCAGGCTGAGGAAGTATCTAGCATCTAGAATTTACAAACCACTTTTCACAGACAGGCCTATGAACTGCACTTCATCAACCTAGGTACAGAAACTTGCGGACTCAACATAGACATTGGAATTCTGACACGCTACAACCTGCCGGACATCTGACTCCCCGGGTACCTCTGCACTTTTACCTGCTACATCCCCCTTCCCCCTACGCCAGTCACCCCCTGATATCTCCATTTCTATTTTCAATGACTGGCTTTCTTGCCTGCATTGCATGCCAGCCTATGGCTTCTTTACTATTCCTTTCATCCAGGAAGAGCACATACACACCAACTAGATACTTTTTCAGCCTGATGAAGGGTTTTTAAACCCAAAAGCTTGCAAAGAAGAATTTATCCAGCTAATCAGTTGGTCTAATAAAAGATATCAGATTGACCCTAAGAACCTTGCCAGGGCTATGTCCTTAGACCAACATGGCTACAACCTACACCCCTTAACACACACAAGTGACACGAGTTTTGCTTTTAGCTGTTTGAGGTGCAGTTTCACAGAAACCCCTGCACCACTCTTCCTGAAACCTGGCAGACCACCCTCATGTGCGCACAATGGGTGATGTATGTGGCAGGACAGGCCAGCCATTTGAAGCCCTGCTCTCAGAGCTGGAGGCGGCAGTTTAGTTTCTCACCAACCAGCAGGGAAAGAACATCTCCCTGCTGAGCTTCCATGCCAGGAAGAACTTGGAGGTATAAGGGCTGGGGCTATATGGGATGGAGGCCCCACATCATCCTGGTCTTGACCTAAAACTGCACCCTGCCAGGGTGGGGAGTCCTGGGTAGGACTGCTGGTGGTGTGGCAGCCCCAGGAAATGCCAGGACTGCAAACCTCCCTGGTGAAAGATGGGTAGAAGCAGGAGGCACCTGATAACCTCCAGCCACTGCACAGTCCTCGCTGGGGAAAGTGCAGACTAGTAAGATCTTTGAGACGCCTGAGGCTTACTGGTTGCAGTGGAGTTGTGAGGGTGAGAACAAGGGCTATCATCCCTGCAATTTTCATGCCGCTGCGCCTTAACAGACATATAAAGTCATACATGTCAAGAGTTTTGCTTGTCAGCACCTTGAGGTGCAGTTTCCCATAAACCACTGCACCTATTTCCTTGAAACTTGGCAGGCCTCATGGCCTCAAAAGGGGCTACCATCCCTGCTGTTTTCATCCAAATCTGGCAAAAAAATGACAAAGTTATAGGTATTTCAGTGATTTCCCATTATAGTCTATGGCCGAATCTCTCTGAATCAGCATCGAAACTTCTGAAGCCAATTCAGCCAAACCAATTTGGAACAGTGATCTGAATATCCAAATCAAATCGCTGTCCTCCAAATCAGCCAAATCTGAATCCAAATCGAATACTTCCCTGTTCACACAGGCCTACTGCTTAGAGCACAAATATGCTGCATTAATGACTAAGCATTCAGGCTTCTCTTTGCCATTACTGCAGCTCTTACCTTTGCCATCATCACCTTATATGCGTAGAATTTTTTGCCCTTCCCTTTTCCCAAGGCTCCTTCAAACTTCTCTACAAAAGCTTGTGCCTCCCTAATTTAAAAAGAGAATATTTTACAATAGCTTTCAACTTCTGTGAATGTGTGCTGTTTGTAATGGGAAAGAACATCTCACCAAATACTTCCTCCCTGATTTTAGACCTACATAAAATAAAAGCTCAAAAGTCACCTGCATTCCTGATAGCATTAATATTCAGGGTCTTCTTTGTGAATCAGTAGTAGAAACCATGATCTTCCCTGTTTTACAGCTCACTAATAACGCATGCATCAAGAAGAAAGGGAAACTTTCTAGCAAACTAAAGGCTGAGAAGGAATATAATTTCTTTGTATAAACACATTAGTTAGGTAAATACTAGGATAGGAGAAGAGCTATTTTGGCTAAATAAAAGAACACTTAGGAATAAACTGGCTAAGAATAAATTTAAACTGGAAATTAAAAGAAGCTTTTTGAACAGGCTTTGAGTAGGAGTATTTGGGGCAAACAAAGTATTTTTCAGATTGATCTTGATAATTTTAAGAACAAGAATATATGGCTGTTGCCTGTGGGAGGGACCCTTCCATTCCCATGCCCTTACACATCATAGACGTGTCTCTCTACACATCACAGGTATCACACAATTAATTGGCTAATTGTGTAATTGCCTTAAGACCAGCTACACGTGTAAAGTAGCTATCACATGATAAAAACTTCCAGCCAGCTATACAGTTAAATCTTGAAAATTTATACTGTCTTTTATAGCTGGTTGCTATTGAGCTTTAATTTGCACGTGTAGTAGGATTTCCCTTGTGGCTGAGAGTCCCTTCAACTGACAGACCTCCCAACTGCAGGAGTGTACCATGCCTAGTGTGCCTTTACCTGCATGTGTAGAGGGGGCCTAAAAATCATATTATGGTTAATACACTCACTTATAATGTGACCTTGGACAAGATGCCTTGGAGCACAGTTTCACAATAGGATCGTTACAGATAGGTCCCCAAATTAGTGCATAGGCACTGATGTTTGAAACTAATGGCTTTAATCTTTGTGGTCCAGTTTCATCATCTCTGAAATAGGGCTAATACATATCCATCCTACAGATATGTTTATAAAGCTAAATTGATTAATACTTATAAAGTAGATTGAGATCCTTGGAAAGAAATAAAAAGTATTAGTGTTATGAACTCTAGCCCATGTCCCTAATGCAGCCAAGGTGTTATGGCAGTGTTGTTTGAGTTGGTTAAGCTTGCAAAGAAGCTTAACCAACTTTCTCCACTGTCAAGAGAAAAGAATAAAGGAGGGGGAAATGTAGATGATCATGGCATCAGCTGCTGAGACTGCATCAGCAGGAAGACATTTTAGTAATAATAATATTTTGCCCGTTTAGTAGCATCTTTCATTCCTAGTCTCCAAGCAATTGACAGATGACACTCAATTCCATCTATGTGGTACAGAAGCTGCCTTTTACGGAGAGATGAACTTTATTCTGCCTCCTACCTCCTTTTCCCCATACAGATTAATGGTGGCAAAGGGAAATGCCGCCTTTTATATGCAAGTGACAGGACTTGAACTGCACAGTGGCAGGTGCCTACAGGTCAGCTGGGCTACTCACAGTAAAAGGCAGACTCAGACAAGCCATTGCCCATTGTGGCTAAACAAGTAAACCACCTCTAGGCAAATGCAGTGGACTGAACCTACTCCCATAGGTAGATTCATGCTTATTTCAGGACTGAAATTTCCTCTCCTTGATACTAGCTTTCAGATCCCTCACTACCATCCTCAACATTGGGTTTTGAATTATTCTTTCTCAGCCCACCATCGGATAAGATAATTACTGGAGAGAAGAGCCGTTCTTTTACTGATATGTGGATTTTTGGTTCCTCCCCTCAGTGTTCCTTCTTCCATTTCCCCCAAACAGCCCCCTATGTCCTCCACTATAAAGATCTGTATTACTTCCACATGCAGTACTGCACCTTTAGCAAGATAGGCAATACTGTTGTGTGCTCTACACATCTGTAAGTAATACTGTCTTTTCCTGAATACTCTACAAGCCGTAAAGCTTCTGGCAGTGCAAAGTAACCCAGCTGCTTGATTTCTGTATATCACTAGGCATAAATAAGCAGAGAAGGGCTCAGTTTGCTTTACCAAGGAGTCCTGGAGTCAGTTGTTCAGCTGGCTTTAAATAAAAGGGTAAAATGATCCCAGCCTGGGAATCAGGCAAACGGATTTTGTCCAGCATCTGTTCTCTGGTTACAGACACTGACAACAAAATCCTACCTCTGAACCCCTATCATGTAGACCACAGCACACTGGCCTCATTCCACTGGTTGCTTTTTCCAAGACTGGGGTTTTGAGATGGCAACAGGAGCATCAAGATGTAATTAATCTGAATTGCAGTGTACAGTCAATGACTATTAAATTCACACTCTAGTTTCAGTGCTTCCCACCATGGAAAATGAAGAGTTAGGAATCCATTAGTCTACCTGAGCACTGTTAACTTCTTTGCCATACGCCAAGGTTTGTTCCTCATGGTGGATATCAGCTTTTTCTTTTCCTCTACCTGCTCCTTGAGCCTTTCTAGTTCTTCTTCTGACAAAGACTCTTCATCAGATGAGTTGGAAGCAGATGGGGAAGAAGAGCTAGGGGAGAAAGAGAGTGAAGTTATGAAGTAGAAGCAAGGGGGAAAAAAATAAAAAAAAAAGGGGGGGGGGCAGAACCTCTGCAATACTTGAGAAATCCTGAAGCCATTTCCAAAGCACTAAATCAGAAAGTTGCCATTTACCGTGTACAAGAAAATAACCATTATGTACTTAATAAAGATGCCAGATTTTATATGTTTGAACATGTTTAGGGGTCACCTTATACTGAAAAAAAATTATTTTCAGTTCTGTTATTGCCTGAGTAAAAACTATGATACATGAAAGTTTTAAAATCAGAACCTGTATGAACTGTTTACCACCACCTAATCTAGATTGTACTGGATTTCCATGAGCTGACACCACCTGAGCCAACATGAACCATTGTCAAAGGCAAAGAATACTTTGCTTGGAAATCCATATAACAACAACTTAGTCTGCCAGCACTTTTCCTGTTCTTCTTCTTGTAAAATGACTCAACCTTATGATAGGTGTGAGTATCACTGGCACTCTTGCAGCTACCTGCCTGTGATTGCAGTGGGGCGTGTGATATTAGGGCTGTGCAAAGCTTCGGTCACTGATTCAATTCAGCAGAGATTCGGCCCGATTTGATTTGGCCGAACTGAGCCAAATCTTCAAATCCAAATCGAATCAGGAGACCCTTTAATCTCTCCAATTTGAATCAGAACCCTCCAAATTGATTTCAAGAGATTGAGAAAGATTTGACGATTTGGCCATAGACACAGCTTTAAATGTTTTTTCTACATACCTCAAGGTGCCAGGTGGCTCGTGAATGCTGCAATGCTGGGGTGGATGAAGCGTCCCACAGGAGCATGGGGGGTCCCCAGTGCGCTTGGCAGCAGGCTCAGAAGAGGATGAGAAGCACTTCCAGGTCCACCAGGGAGTATGCTGGCAGGCCCCCCAGACCCTTCTCCGGCTCAGTGACTGGTGCCTCTTAGGTTCGGGGGGGCACCCAGGATCAGCTGGTGGCCAATTGCTGAGTGGGAGGGAGGTGCGGGGAGCCCCACGTGCTTGGTGGTGGACCCAGAAGTGGATCAGAAGTACTTCTGGGTTCACAGCTGAGCACACAGGGCCCCCCCCTGCGCTCCTGTGGGATGCTCCATCTGACCCACCATCACAGCGTTCATGAGCCACGCCTGATACCTCAAGGTATGTAGAAAAAACATTTAAAGCTGTGTCCATGGCTGAATCCCTGATTCTCCAAATCAGCATCGAATCTTCAGATTCGGATTCAACCAAATTGAATCGGGACATTGATCTGAATCAACGAATCGAATCATTGTCCCCGATTCGGGCCAAATCCAAATCGAATATGGCCTGTTTTGCACACCCCTAACAGTCAGGCAAAAAAAAGGCTGGGAGAAAATAAGAGGACTGCAACAAAGAAAAATCAAGGGGGAAATAATCTTGAAGCTTAAGAGATCCTTTCTAGGTTTTTCTCTTGGTTGACCCAAGGCAGCCCTTAGAAATATGTGCTGTGTTATGTATTGAATTTAAACCAGAATAACCCTGATTACATTTTTAAAATATTGATAATTTAGTCATCTTATATTTAGCAACCCTGACCAACATGACACAGGTTCACCATTAGAAACATGCTGGCATAGAATAAAATTGAAATTCTACCATGTGGCTTTATAGCTGGCCATTATTAAAATACCTCTCTCCATTGCCTTTTTTCTTTTTCTTATCCTTATCCTTCACTTTCTTGTTTGCTTGCTTTTCCTTATTTTCTGCCTCCTTTTGGCCCTTGGAAGCAGCTTTTCTGTGTCTCTCTCTCTTCCCACTTGGTGCTTTCTCCGATTCACTTTTCTCACCACTGTTTTTCACTCGGTGATTTGTCTTTCTAGTGAGTCTTTTTCTTTGGAAAATCTCATCCTCCTCTTCACTCTCATCTACTGCCCTAGTTTGCTGATTCTTCTCTTGTCTGCTTGACTTGATTGCTTCCCTTGAGCAGGGCCTTTGGATTGTCTCCTCTTCCTCCTCATCTTCTGTAATACATGGTGGAGTAGTAAGGGTTTAATTCCTTTCCTGAGGGTTGACATGATGACATCAACAGGAAGTTGTCAGCCACCTTTGCGTGTGTGTGAGCAGTTGCAAGCAAGCCCTTTGGAGAGAAAGAAGTCTCCCTGCCTTTTCCTGAGCTATGAGATAGCACACATGGAACTAGTCCTTTTATAAACACTTAACACGTGTTAATATAGTAAAGATTTGCCTGCCATATAGTGAATAGTGCATGCACCCTTTCTGATCTAGAGCCCACTGAAATAAATGAAAAGGTGCCCATTTGTTTTCATGGGCTTTAGATTTGGCTCATACTGAGCATCAGTGTCAGCACTTGGCTCAGTGCACACTTTCCATTAGCAGTAATAATAGTGGGACATAAATTTGGGCATCACTGAATGGAATGTGACCCCAACAGCTAAAACTAGCAATCATTTCTATAATAATACATTTTAAAAAAAATACTGTTTCTGAGTGAGCAAGCATGAGCATTTTCTTGAGCTTTCAGTGTGATAGAACTGTGGAAGCAAAAAGAATATACTGTAAATGAAATACTATATTTTTTCTTTTTATAAAAATTATAAGTTAATATTGTGCGCATGAAAGTAGCTTAATGGCTATGTTCTGAGATAAAAGTTCCTGTATTTCTATACAGGACAGGGACATTTCAGGCAGCACTGACACTATCATTTTTTATCCTTTTGCTTCAATTGATTGTAACTGTTACTTGGAGGAATCATTTCCAAAGAGGAAGAGCTAGATATTCTCTCTGCTCATTCTACTTGTCATTATCAGCAAGACCACCAATAAGTGCTAGTTGTGATGGATATTATAACTCGTCAATATATGGAATATAGTTTTGAAATAAATCTTGAAATAAATCTTGAAATTTAAAATTGTTTTGTATCATTTAACAAGCTTTGAAAGTAAACTTTTTTTCTCAATGATTAAATATTTTTTTCTGAATGTTACTAGTTTTCCTTTCTTCTATTCCCCCCTTTTTTGCCATTAATTATCACTAAAGGTCTAATCGATTCACGATTCCATGGATTTTGTGGAAAACGTGAAATATGGAATTGTCAGCAAAAGCAACTTAAAAAAATAAGATCTTAATAAAAATAAAATATTATCTCCCCAGTACAG